TATCTTAATGAGACAACTCTCCCCGGCCAAAAGCCCTAATTTGTAGCATTTGCTAATTCCCCTGGTGTAAATACTCCTTGAATACCCAATTTCAGGCGTCCAATGTGAAGTCACTGAGCACAGCTCTGGGAAGAGATGTGCACAGTAGCTCAAGTCAGTGCAAGCTGGCTCCAGTGTGCCACTGGGTCAGAGTGAAGCATATGTGTGACAGTGTAGAACAGGACGATTGACAGCAAAACTTAGAAGCAAATAGAGGAAAAATAGTCTGTTCCCATCTTTCTGTCCTTGCTCTGCACTCTCCAACCATACTTAGGACAGAAATCTTTTACTAGCCTCATGTGCTGACTCGGCGGTGGAGGTGGAGGTGGGGGATGGAAGGGAGGGGTAGGGAGTGTCTCCCTAATGACATCCCAGTTGTCAGACTGTGTATTTAACCAGGAAGTTAGAGATTTGGTCATGGACATAATGCCCATGTTTATAAAAATGTCTTCCTCCTTTCCCTTTTCCTTTCCTTCCTTCCTTCCTCCCTCCCTCTCTTCTTTATTCCCTCCCCTATGGCCGCAGAAATATTTTCTACCATCTCTTTTGTAATCCCAACAACCCCAAGAGATCATCAGAACAGGTAACAGTATTCCTGCTTTGCAAAAACAGTAGAGAAATTAGAAAACTGCTCTACTTCATAAACCTCTATCATGTTATTAATGTCATTGGTAATATGTCATTTTGTTGTTTGGAAATCCTCATTGTTGTTCATACACTCTCGCTTTAATTTTTTTCATGAGTGGAGAGAGTCATTTCAACATCTGACCACGTGTCCTTTGCTGTCACAAATTTAATTTTATTCTCTCCCTCATGACTGTGGAAAATTGTATCACGCTGCATCTAGGAAATTACATTACAGTGTTATAAATACATTTCTGAGAACTCTTAATTAAGTGATGATACCTAGGACTTTCTCATTATAGTTAAGTCCCAAGAGGTGATAAAGCAGAACCCTTTTGAGAAGCTGTTTTGTTTTCAGCAGCTCAGCACTCGAGCAAGCAGAATTCTGTTATAGACCATCTCTGACCTGTTATGGTGACACCAGTTGATGATTGTGTCAACATAGTGGATTAGGAAAACCCAGGTCTTCTTTGCTAAAGACTTCATAAAAGTTTTCCAAATGCCTGATGACTCAAAGTGAAGCAGACGATGCTTGAGCTCACGGACTTGCCGTTTACCATGAAGCCATCCACGGATGTTCTTGAGATCATCACTTGCACCCCTCTAATCCTTGTGAGCTTTGTTGGAAACATTTGTTTATTTTACTCTACAAGGAAATGTATCACTGGGCGTTTACAGACATCCTTTCTTCTAATTTTCAATCTTGGATCCGTCCACCTCATTAAAAACTCGGTGGTGAATGTCATGAAAATTGTTTATTCTTCTGGTTTCATATTGGATTCGGCCGGCTGCAAAGTTCTGTGCTTCACAGAGGCCCTGACGACGTCCCTGGCCATCTGGTTCATGTTACACTTTGCATTGCTCTACCTCCGGAGGCTTTACCAGACCGTCCACCCCTTGAGTGAGACTCCAAACCCGGACTGTCAGGAGCATCCCTTGAAGGTGGTTTCTGCACTTTGGATGGCTGGAGTGGCAGTGTACATCCCTGTATTGCTTTATGCTAGAAAATCTGAATACCTGCATGCAGGAAATGATACAGACCCCTTGTCTACTAGCAGGATTCACACAGACTGCCTAATTGACTTTGGAAACAAGCAAGTAGAGTTTTACTATGGGAACACGTTTTTAGTTCTGATTGATATTCTTCCTTTATCCATCTTAGTCTTTGTCTGTTTCTGGATGTCTTTTCTCCTTTTGGAAAGAAAGAAGATGACATATGGTGACATCTGGATTGGAGATGATGATTCAGAAACTGAAATCCTTAGAGGAGCCAAGTTCAGTATTTTATTAATGTGGCTGATCACTCCACTCTGGATTTCTCACTTTATCTTAGTCTATTTCTTGAAGGACTTGGCAGCCTGTGTCTTTTTTCCAGCTGTTCTCACAGCCCTCTCTTCAGGCTTCTCTGCTCTCAGTCCTTTTCTGCTTATGCTGGTAAATTACAAAATGAAGTTGGTGTCCTTCTGTGGTGCCCAAGAGAAAAAACCCACACCACAGCCTGCAAATGGTGGTGTTTCTCCAAACGCTTAATGACAAAAAAAAAAAAAATGAAAACCACAACTCTTAATCTTGGGGAAACAGACTATGTCACTGGGAGGTGCCCCTGAAGTGCCCATAGCTCTCATCAACAGAGTTTCTGAAAGAGGGACTAGAAGATTGACTCCTCCCCCAAAAAGACTTCTGAGGGAAACTGTACGAGAGGAAGATACATGAACACGAAGTTATCATAAGTTGAAGACAAACAGTCATCTCAACATTTGTTATTTTGGACAATATCACAGTTTTTAGTGTAGAAATTCTCAAATGATTCAACAGCCATCGCAGTCTCAAAATGAATTCAACATAAAAAACAATATATTAAGTATTTACTCTGTGTAAGGTATTGTGTTAAAAAAAAAAAACAGCAGATTGTGGAGACTGAGGATTACACTTCCTAGCTGAATTCCTTAAGGTATTTAACAGTAATCTTGTGTTTTCATCTTGAAATGCTTTGACACATATTGGCAATGCATTAGTTAAGTATGCAATGTTCAGTTTTTGCACCATTAATCAGGGTACCTCATCTGAGCTAGAAGCAGATTTTGTACATTTACCTTCCTCTAAGTATCTTTAGTAAATGAGGGCTACATAAAAGCATTGGATTAAAGAATTAGTGCTGGCTGAATCACACTCTCTGAGTATGTACAGATGTGCAAATATTTGGTTCCTACAGACATTTAGCCCACTATCCTTACTTAATCACCTAAATATCAAACTATACTCCTCTTCAGAAAAAAAGGAATACTTATTTTACAGAGAGTTTGTTTCCTCTTTTGGTTATTAAATTGGTAAATTTTAATTGGTAGAATTGATAAAATATTCATCATAATCTGTTCTGAATTTGAGTTTAATAAAAATAAGCACATTATAATTATAATTTAAAATACATGACTAGGATTTTATTTTTTACAGTTAGTCAATGTAGCCATTTGGACTGCTTCAGATTCAATGAGTAATAATTTTAAATATCTTATGATGCATACATGATGTGTAAGCATTGAATTTTAAGCTAATTCTTATTCAATTCTTGCATTTTTTATTTTCCTTTTTTATTGGTAGACATGGGATTTATTATACCATAGTTCTAGTGAATGGATATCCCTAACTCGAGATTCTGGATCTGAAAAAGCCTCTAAAATTATAAACCTGGATCTCATTAACAGGAGGAACTTAGAACATCTTTGTTGCCATGAAGTGCTACAGAGAAAGGAAATTTTAAAGTAACCAAGGCCCAAATTTTTAAGGTTTGGTAGGCCAACGTCTGTCCCTTGTATAGTGTGGGAATTAAAGTACACACACACACACACACACACACACACCGCACACACACACATGCATAGACTTAAGACCTTCTGAGGTTTCTGGGTGGTCTTCATGGGAAATGCTTATTGGAGTCAACTGAGGAAGTTTAATCAGAAGGGCACTAGGCATGGATCCTGTATAATGAAGTTAACATCTGTGGAGATGGGGGATGTGGGAAAGAGATCACCATCTTTTAATTAAATGCAGATGTAGCCAGGGCTGGGACCAGCCGTTGGTCTTAGGTAGTAGTTCTCAAGTGTGTTTCTGGGACCAGCAGAATCAAGCATCACCTGGGAACTTGATAGAAATGTAAATTCTCAGGCCCCAACCCGGACCTACTGAACCAGAAACTCCTGGGGTTGGACCCAGCAATTTGTTTTAATAAACCTTCTGGTTGATTCTCATGCAGGCTAAACTTTGAGAACCGGCGGTCTAGGGTTACTCAGAAGTTTATAGTTCTCACACACTATGAGTGGTAGGAGAACGAAGCCGAGAAAACTGACTCCTGATGTAGTCTTTGATGCTCTCATACACAGTGCTGTTATGTCTACTTCTCTCTAAAATGGGGATCAGGATTATCAGCTGTGTTCCATACATTCTCAATAATAATTGCCAAACAAATCCACTGTAGAAATCAAGCAGTCTTTGCAAAATCAAGAATAAAGCATGACTTCAGGTGTGCCAAAAATTTGGAACTTGGATTTGGATAGGTTCCTGTGCATAACTGAGTAAGGGATCCAGTTCCTGAATTATTCCAAAGTTCCTTTCCAGAAGCCGGTACAAGACACGGTTGGCCTACGCCCAGGCTCAACTTCCCAGTGCTGGAAATGTTTCCTTTTTCTTCCCAGATATTTTCTTTTTGTTTGGGCCTCATTAGGTCATAGTTTTGTCCTTGTGGAATTGGTAAGTTTTCATCGTCAACAGAGAGTAAATCATATTCTCACTGAATGAACAACTTTCCAGTTCTCTTTTAAAAATCATTTTCACTTTAAGTCTCTTGCTCTCTATCTCTCTATTCCTCTCGCTTAGCCTCCATATTTCATTCACATTCCCGGTGGGATCAGGCTGGCAGATGAAATAGGAAAAGGGCAGTTCAACAAAGGTTGTCATGGTAGCACCTTGGAGAGGGGTCAGAGTTGGTCAGGACTGTCTTGAGGTCCTTGTTTGGGACTGCACACAGTCTCCTAGTTAGAAGGTTGTGTGTTTCTCCTTTTCAATGCAGGATTGTCATCTTTCTCCCTCAGAGGATCCCTCCAAATCTCTAAATGAACAGTTTCTTGCTAGGGTGGTTGTGATCTTGTCAAGGAGCCCATTCCATTTAAGTCCATTCCAAATGTCATTATTAGGAAGTTTTTGCTGACACTGGCATCCCTGAAACTTTCTTCAAGAGCTACCCTTGAAGGCAAATCCTCCTTTTACCTAATGGCTGTTCAGATTCGTAGAGAGAGAGGAGTGCTTTTTCTCTTCTCCAAGGTAGATACTTCCTTAGCTATGCCACTGAGACAGAGTTTTCCAGCCACTGGCTGTCTTGACTTTCTTGCCCTGTCTTGGTGTGCTCCAGTTTGCCTGTGGCTTTCTCAAGGAGTGGCTTCCAGAACTGAACACAGGGCTTAAAAACAAAGGTCCTTTCTGGGGAAAGTTCTGGTAGAAGTTAATTCATTCTCGGTATTAGATTTTAGAACTAATGACATTACCTCTAAATCATTTGCAAGAACTTTAAACTACAAGCTAGGGCTCAAACTATAAAAAGACTGTGTTGTAAATCAACTATACTTCAATTTAAAAAAAAGCTACAAAAAGACCTTTGTAGGGATTTCTCAGAACAATTCTGATCTCTAGAATAAGGTTCTCTAGTACAGTGGTATTTTACTTGCCTTTTTAACAAGACATAAAGCAGGATGGTCATAATCAAATTTTCTTTGAAGGTGAAGATAAAATATTAAACCAACTGGCTATGGTATACAATGCATTTATAGGCCACTTCAGGGATGTCTGTTGGTAAGATATATTAGGTACACAAAGGCCTATATACACTTTTCTTTAATGATGATAATCATGCCTACTTATTATATGCCTGTTTATTTTTATTGAAGTATAATCAATTTACAATGTGTCAGTTTGTGTACAGCATAATAGTTCAGTCATGCATATACATAACATACATTCATTTTCATATTCTTTTTCATTTCATTCTTTTTCATTTCATTCTCAGCAAGATACTGAATATAGTGTATACTATACAGTATACACTTGTTGTTTATCTATTTTATTTGTAGTAGTTGGTATCTGCAAATGTCAAACTCCCAATTTATCCCTTCCTATCCCCTTCCCCCCAAGTAACCATAAGTTTGTTTTCTATGTCTGTGAGTCTGTTTCTGTTTTGTAAATAAGTTCATTTGTCCTTTTTTTTGATTCCACATATAAGTGATATCATATGATATTTGTCTTTCTCTTTCTGGCTTACTTCACTTAGACTGACAATCTCGAGGTCCGTCCATGTTGCTGCAAATGGCAGTATTTTATTCTTTTTTATGGTTGAATAGTATTCCATTGTATAAATATACCACAACTTCTTTATCCAATCATCATTGATGGACATTAAGGTTGTTCCCATGTCTTTGGCTGTTGTAAATAGTGCTGCTGTGAACACTGGGGTGGATATATCTTTTCGAATTAAAGTTCCCTTCGGATATATGCCCAGGAGTGGGATTGCTGGATCATATACCATTCTATTGAGACTCTGCTGGAGAGAGGAAAGAGCAATTTGTTTGGAGTTGTACTTCTTGGACACCCAAAGGGATACAGTTCAGGGCTGAAGATACATTTGGAATTCTGACCTAGATGGTTCAAAGAGCTGCCCATGCTTCTGAACAGTCCAGGGGGCAAATCAGAAGAGCTCTGGACTTATTATTGGGAAGTGGTTTGTCTGAGCTGGCTTTGCACCTGTTTAGTAGTACATAACATTGGCCAAAACATTCCTGAGTTTTACCATCAGTAAAATAGGAAGAATGTGATTGCAAATTGCAATACACACCCTCTGCCTCCTTCACAGAGTTGTCATAAATAAACTCAGATAAAAAGTATTGGGGGTGATTTGAAAAAAATAAAATGTTTGATACAGGTGAGGTGTTACTTGACCACTGCAGTTCTGGAAAGCTGAAATAAGGGAGAAAAGCAAACTTATCATCAGAAACTCTGGCTGTGTGTTAGGCAGTTGCAGAACCTCTCTGAGCTTTGGTCTCCTTATTTGCACCAAGGAGATTATAAAGATATTTGTCTCCCATGGTCTTTGTGAAACGTGACAGAGTATATGTAAAAGTTCCCAGACATTGCCCATGGTGTGAAGTTTTGCTTCACAAATGTTTGTGAGCCTTCAAGCAGGAAACACAGCTCTCCTCCCCCAGAGCTAGAGCAGACTCAATATATTACATTGAAGTCCATTTGATAGCAAATACTCATTTGTACTTTATCTAAACCTGCCAGACAATCCAGTATTCCAGCATATGCTCTGTTTACACTCTGGCTTTGAAAATGCTCTCCTGACCACTGTGCTTCCCAGCCCACCCTGGCCATTACCCTTCTAGACCCCTTTTTTGAAGCAGAAACAGCAATAGGTGTTAATGTTACCCATCTTCCAGGAAACTCTGCTCCAGGATTGTCCCCTCCAGGCCTGTGCCCGTGCTCTAACACTTCCTAGAACACTTCCT